TTTTAGTAGAGACGGGGTTTCTCCATGTTGGTCAGACTGGTCTCAAACTCCCAACCTCCAGTGATCCACTCACCTAGGCCTCCCAAAGTGCTGGGATTATAGGTGTGAGCCACCTCGCCCTGTCTGTTTTTATGGGGTGCGTGTGTGTGTGTGTGTGTATGTCTGTTTTTGTGGTGTGTGTGTGTGTGTTGGAGAGACAGGGTCTTGATATGTTGTCCAGGCTTGTCGTGGGCTCAAGTGATCCTTCCACCTTGGCCTCCTAAAGTGCTGAGATTTTAGTTGTGAGCTACCACATCTAGCTGGAAGAAGTATTTTAAAACATTCAGGTTTCAGGGTCTTTGAATACAGTCTGATAACATAGCTATTTTCCTGCATAGTTGTCTAATAACAAGATGGCATAGCCCAATGCCTCTTGCACTTTAGTAAGCATCAGAATCAGCTGCAGGGCTTTTCAAAACAGATTGCTAGATTCTGATTCAGTAATTCTAGTTGGGACCCAGGAATTTGTGTTTTCAACAAACTCCCAGATACTGATGTTACCATTCCCAGACCATACTTGCAGAAGCAGTTCAGAAACTTTGGGGAACCAAAAGTCCTTCCCTCATGGCTCAAAGTTCCATGATCCTGAAAGCAAAATTTAGCACACGTAGTCTTTCTCCTTGTGACTAAGACTCTCCTGTTCAAACCCTAGGATGTCTTCAGAAAGCAAATAGAAGGGAAATATGAACAAACTGAAGTCAGTATGGAAATGATTCTGACAAGATGAGGAAGGCCTTTGAAAATGAAGAAGCCAGCTGGGTGCTGTAGCTCATGCCTGTAATCCCAGCATTTTGGGAGGCTGGCAGGCAGATCACTTGAGACCAGGATTCGTGACCAGCCTGGGCAACATGGTGAAACCCCCTCTCCACTAAAAAAAATGTTGGCTGGGTGCAGTGGCGTCCACCTATAATCCCAGCTATTCAGGAGGGTAAGGCATGAGAATCGCTTTAACCTGGAAGGTGGAGGTTGCAGTGAGCTGAGATTGTATGCACTCCAGCCTGGGTGACAGAATAAGACTTCATCTAAATGAATGAATGAATGAATGAATGCCATGTAGGAAATTATCCACAGCGTCGATTGGACTAAATAAATAAATAAATGCCATGTAGGAAATTATCTACAGCGTCGATTGGACTTGATCTTGGCTCAGGGACCAGGCCTGGTGCTTTGATATTGGTAGATTTATTTGCCATCGGACTAATGAGCTGGGGACATTAACTGTTTCCTGGCAACTGAGTCCTATGATTGTGTAAAGAATTTGCCTGCAAACAAGACATGAGTGCTTGAAAGGGTAAGTGATCCGGATCTGCCATAGAAACCTTCCTGCTTAGGAAGTTTCCCTAGCTAGCTCCTCAGCTAAGATTCTCCCAGGAGTTTGACTCACCTGTTTCTGTTTCCTCCTTGGGGCTGTCAGCATCTGTGATTCCAGATTCCCCAGAGGGAGATTCCTCCCCAAAGCTGGTTCTATTTGCCACCAGCTCTGGGCGGTAGCCAGGGCAGTCTTTGAACACATTATCAAGAATACTTTTTAAAGTAGAAGAGAGTTTGACTTCTGTGTATTTTTGGTCTCCTTGGAAGCAAAGGTTTAATCTTTGCACTGATTTCTCACCATCCCCTTTTCATCTGATTTCCTAAATCCACTTTTTTCTTCTAAACATACTGAAGTGGATTTTTCCATGCACTGAGTTTTTTTTTTTTTTTTTTAGAGTGACATTTAAAACATTCACAATTATTTTAATTTGCTGAGAATTGATGAAAATTTCACAGTGCTTTTTGTTTTAAGAGGCAAGGTCTTGCTCTGTTACCTAGGCTGGAGTGCAGTGTTGAGATTATAGTTCACTGCAGCCTCAGACTCCTGGCCTCAAGTGGTACTCCCATCTCAGCCTCCTGAGTAACTAGTACTACAGGCACACACCACCCATGCAGCTAATTTTTTTTTCTTGGAGATGGAGTCTCGTTCTGTTTTCCAGGCTGGAGTGCAGTGGCACCATCTAGGCTCACTGCAATCTCTGCCTTCCAGGTTGAAGTGATTCTCCTGCCTCAGCCTCCTGAGTACTGGGAACTACAAGCATGTACCACCACACCCAGCTGATTTTTTGTATTTTTTTTAGTAGAGATGGGGTTTCACCAAGTTGGCCAGGGTGGTCTGAAACTCCTGACTTCAAGTGATCCACCCACCTCAGCCTCCTAAAATTTTGGGATTACAGGCATGAACCACTGCACCTGGGCCCTATTAAGTGTATTTTTCAAGCAAAAATAAAATTATTCCAGTACCCATACATGTTTTTCGCTGTTGCATATTATTTTTCAATCCTTTAAAAACTTTTAGGTAATTGTAATCAATATATATACTTTTTCTTTGTTTCTATAGTGCGTGTGTATATATATACGTATATACATGTATACATATATATGTTGTTGCTTTTTTTGAGACAGAATTTTGCTCTTGTTGCCCAGGCTGGAGTGCAATGGCAAAATCTCAGCTTACTGCAACCTCTGCCTCTTGGGTTCAAGCGATTCTCCAGCCTCAGCCTCCCAAGTAGCTGGGATTACAGGCATGCGCCACCATGCCTGGCTAATTTTGTATGTTTAGTAGAGACAGGGTTTCTCCATGTTGGTCAGGCTGGTTTCAAACTCCCGGCTCCAGATAATCCACCTGCCTTGCCCTCCCAAAGTACTGGGATTACAGGTGTGAGCCACAGTGCCCGGCCCATATTTTTTAAATAAAAAAAAGTGTGTTTTCTTAGACTTTACTGAGTTTTTAATTTTTTACTTTTTGATACAGGGTCTGGCTCTGTCACGGGTTGGAGTTCAATGGCAAAATCATAGGTCACTGTAGCCTTGATCTCCTAGGTTCAAGCAATCCTTCCGCCTCCAGGTGCAGGCCACCACCACATAGGCTTTTTCTTTCTTTCTTTTTTTTTTTTTAATTAAAGTGAAAGTCTGGCTGTGCTGCCCAGTCTGGTTTTAAACTTCTGGGCTCAAATAATCCTCCCTCTTTAGCTTCCGAAAGTGCTGGGATTATAGGCTTGAGGCACTAACCACACCCAGCCTGTGTTTTTGCTGACAGCAATTCTAGTTAGGTTGTGAAGCAGTATCTCCTGTGGTTTCATTTTGAATTTCCGTAGTGAGTTAGGATATTGAGCATCTTTTCATGAGCATATTAAACCATTTGTTTATCTTCCTTGGTGAAACGTTTATTTTTGCCCCCTGACCTTTTTTTTTTTTTTTTTTTTTTTTTTTTTTTTTTTTATTCCAGGAAAGCACTCATTTTAAAAATAGGGTGTTTGTGTACTTGAGTTCTAATAGTTCTATATTTTAGAAACAAGTGCTTTAAAAGATAAATAATTTGCTGGGCTGGGAGCTGTGGCTCACACCTGTAATGCCATCTCTTTGGGGGGTTGGGGTGGGTGGATCATCTGAGGTTGGGAGTTCAAGACCAACCTGACCAACACGGAGAAACTCCATCTCTACTAAAAATACAAAATTAGCCAGGCATGGTGGCGCATGCCTGTAGTCCCAGCTACTCGGGAGGCTGAGGAACAAGAGTCACTTGAACCTGAGAGGCAGAGGTTGCAATGAGCCGAGACTGTGCCACTGCAGTCCAGCCTGGGTGACAGAGCAAGACTCTGGGGAGAGAGAGAAAGAGAGAGAGAAAAAGAGAGAGAGATTTAAGTAGCAAACATTAGAAGCATAAATGTGGAGGACATTTTTGCAACCCCAATATGGGCTTCAAACTAGCCAAGTAGCAAACAATAATAAACTAGACAATTGGCTTTCTTGTTAGCTAATCTGATTACATGCTTCAATTAATTGTCTTACTGTAAAAAAGAATGGTATAAATATTTATGAGCTAGAAGTAGTAGCAACAGCTAGAGTTTAAATGGGAAGGTGCACAGGTAAATTTCAGAGACAGAAGGGCACCTTTAACAGAAACATTTCTAATTACTGATTGTTTTGCTCTTGTTTTTTTTTTTTGAGACAGAGTTTCGCTCTTGTTACCCAGGCTGGAGTGCAATGGCGCGATCTCGGCTCACCGCAACCTCCGCCTCCTGGGTTCAGGCAATTCTCCTGCCTCAGCCTCCTGAATAGCTGGGATTACAGGCACGTGCCACCATGCCCAGCTAATTTTTTGTGGTTTTAGTAGAGACGGGGTTTCACCATGTTGACCAGGATGGTCTCGATCTCTTGACCTCGTGATCTACCCGCCTAGGCCTCCCAAAGTGCTGGGATTATAGGCGTGAGCCACTGCGCCCGGCCTGTTTTGCTCTTGTTCTATAATCAGTGGATTAGTTTCTTTGCCACGTGGGATAGTCCCTTGGTGCCCATCCTATAGCATGGTTCCTGATTTGTAAAGACATCTGTCCTCTAAG